ATATATATATATATTAACGAGTTTATAAGGTATCCCCAAAAAGGAACTACAATGGAGACTATAGGTACATCTCTGAGGTATAGAACACCGAACTCCAAGCCCTTCGCGACGCTGCTATCCTCGCCCAGCAAAGCCAAACGCCGTAGTCCTCTAGCCCTAAACCCACCAAAACAGGCTGGTCCGAGTGTGAGTGCCAAAAAACCCACCGAAACCTCTAATTAGCTTCTGCAACTCTACACCGTGTTCACCCAGCCTTTAGCTTAATTCCCCGTACCATACCCTGCAGGCGTGGGGCCATCAAGCTGTAACGCAGTGCAGGGTACTAGGGCTGTGACTGTGGTATTGATTTTCGGCAGGGCTTGACTCTTCAAGCGATTGGGCAACCAAAGAACCCCTGTCAATCTACTGTCGGCTCTTTCGAAAGCAGACCTCGCCGTGAGCATAGTTTCTCAACAATGCGAGAGGGAAAACGTAAGATCCTGTAAGCTTTCCAACCCTGAAGCCCGACACCCCTAAACCCCAAACCCTAACCCCTTTCTAGAACCCTGGTGAACTCCCAACGAAAAACCGATGAAATCCTGAAGCCAACTCAGGTCATGAGCAGTTCGAAGCTTTGGCTTCTGGCCCAACATTTGCAGACCTTGGGAGGCATCCGGCCTTTCGTAAGGCTCTGGTTTGTGTTTTTTACCTGCGAAAGAAGCTGTTTTCCAACTTATATAGTAGACCAGAGTTTGAAAGTTTCTTAGCAGATACAGTGCCTATCTCTTTATGTGTGTTTATGCAAACATACACGAATGGATTAAAGGATAATGCTTTGGAAAATGTTATATCACAACAGAATATGAAGACTCTGACATAGTGTAAACGAAACTGTTGATCAACATGTATGTATGTATACATGCGTACATACGTGCCACCTACAGACATACAGAAAACTTTATACAACCGCACTTTATATGCGCACAATTGCTTATTGATTGACGTGCGTATATCGTTGCTTTAAGCTTTTTTGGTTGTATATCTGTTTTGTTTGTACCTGCTTGTTTATTTGCTGACGTATATGTTTGTATGTTCATGTTGCTTGGCTACCCACCTGTTTGTATCTGTCTGTCCACTCATTTATCCCTATCTATCGAACTATCTATTGTCTATCTACTTATCTGTCTACCGATCTATCCATCTCTAGCCACCTACCTGGACCTACCTGACCTACCGACCTATCTGCATACCTACTTGTATCTATCCGCGTCATATGTACTTGATTATATATATATATATATACATACATAAATGCATATATATATATATTTATTTATGTATGTATGTACAGATCGAGATGTACACAGACACACACACACACACACACACACACACACACACGCACACACACACACACACCTGCTCGAAAATTGAGGATGTACCGCGCACCTTGGAGCCCCCAAGGCCCTGCCCCTGTCAGTGGATGAGGCAACCAGGGAGAAAAGCGCATGTGGGCCGTTTTAAGCATTCTTGTTGCGTTTCCGTCTTTGTAGTTCGATTCAGAACGAAGCCCCAGGGTCCTAGCGTGTGTCGCATCCTAAACCCTAATTTCGGGTTTAGGGTTTAGGGTGTTGATCCTCCTAGGCTCGTTCGTGCGGATCCTTGCCTGCCTTGAGTCAAATCGGCTCGGGGGGCCCTAAACCTTAAACTCTAAACCCTAAACCCTAAACCTTAACCCGAAAAGCGGCTCAGGGGGCATCTTGCCTATCCTGCCTTCGCACCGAAAAGGCTTGGAGGCCTGGGTCCTCAAGGCGGGGGTTCCGTTCATTTCTAAGGAGTTCTTTCTGGGGCTTTATCAGGTGGTTTTGCAAGGGTGTTATCTGGTTTTGTGGTGGTTCTAAAGGGTTTGATATGGGTTCTAAAATGGCTATAGTAGGTAGACTTGGGTTTGTGGGCGGCCTAGAGGGTTGGGGAGAGTGGGAGTTTCAGAGTCGTCTCAAATACCAGGATCCCAAATAAGCAGCCTGTCAGTCTGAGATTTGTATCAGGACATCAAATGTTTCAGGAGGGTTTAGGGTTCTTGCCGGCATACACCCAGAGCCAGTACCCAGAACTCGTCCGGAAAAGTGTTTGGGGAATCCATGACTTCGGAATAAGGAATACTGGTTTCAGCACGATGGCCAACTACACAGGCAGCCACACGAGACTCCCGCGGGTTTGCAGGGATCAGGAAGTTCTGCTTGCAGCCCATAGTAGACCCGACGTAGCCACTTGTGCGCACTTGACCTCTGAACCCCAACGCAGAGTTAATAAGCCTCCCCTGAATGTGTATGTCTCATAGTTCTATCATGAGGACCCTTACCGGCAAGCACTTTTATTCATGTCAGCTCCCTGAGTGCAGGCCCAGCAGCTGCTGAAGGTGACAGGCCACATGCAAGCTGCAGGCGTTCACTCCGAGCTCGGCCGGGCGGCACAAGGCATGGATGAAGCTTGAGGGGTGAACTATAGGTTTAGGGTTTAGTATAGCATGGAAGCCGCATCGCATGGTAGTGCTATTTCCTGATCAGCCGATGAGGGTATAGCGTGGCGCATTCTAAACTCCTGGTTACTCTCGTCACGCGAACTTTTCCGATGGCTTCTACGCGTTTCGGGGGTGAATGATTGGGACCACAATTGTCCAAGCCGGGATCAGAGGCGGCTTCCGCCTGGATGTCGCCGAGCTGGAACTTCCCAAAGGCGCTGTCTTTGTGAGAGTACAGGCATAATGCAAGATGCATTCGGGCAGGCAGGTAGGTGTGCATGCTTGAATGTTTGGTTGATTGGTTGGTTGGTTGAATGCAAGCATGCATGCAAGCATACAAGCAAGCATGCATGCATGAATGGATTCATGGATTTATGGATGGACGGATGCAGCCTAGGCTTATTGCTCTGTTTCCCATGCTTACTCCAAACTGGGATGCTTTTCATTTCCTGATATACTATTTGTTTTAATTCAAAGGCACATATCAAGCTGCCATGAGAAGAGCCACGTCTGAGCTACTTGCAGAGAGACAGAGCTTTTGTGCATTGGACGCGCGGCCGTTTTGGCTGGAAGGGCCTACCCCGGCTCGAGGAGATGTGTCTCACAATCTGATGATCGACATAGCGCCGGCAAGGCCAGGTTAGCAGAAGATGATTTCCGCCTACTGCTGCTGCCTCGGCGACGAGTCGCTGCCAGCGGCAGAAGTGCCACTGGCTCAAGTGCTGCCAGACAAGCAGGAGGCGGCAGATCTGTTTGCGGCTACAGACGGACATGCCCCTGAAGTGGGCTTCTTTGTCGTGCCGAGTCTGCAACCCTGTGACGTTTCTGGAAAGCGATCAAGGGTGCTCTCCGAATTTCATTCACCTCCAGCAAAGGCTAGACTTCGACACACACTCGACCCCTCCCCCGGATCTCAAACTCTTCCCCCACAGGATTCCGAGTCGGCACCAGAGCCACAAGAGGTTAGAATCAGAACCAACAACAGACTGCGAATCAAAGAGAAACAGGCTGTGATGTGGCATGTTCTTGAAGTGCTTGAATGCTTGGCCCTTGTTGCCGTAGATCCGCTTCAGCCCAAGACCCTGCCTCTTCAACCCGCGACTTCCGAAATTCCGAGGCCCAGAATTCCCAGATCGTCTACCCAGTCTACCTGAAAAAGTCCACATCGCTGATAACTTAGATAGCTTGGGCCCTCAAGCCTCAAGAGCCCTGAGTCTGGTAAGTGGATTTTGCGTAGGGTGTGGGGTTTAGGGGCTGTAGGGTTTGGGGAGACGATCGCAAAGGTGGCCTTAGATATGGGCATGCAGCCGAAGCCATTGGGCCTGGATGTGGATAACCTGGATTCGAGAGGCTCTCTCATTACCGGCCACTCGGCACTGAGATGTTATTTCTTTGTTCAGGTCTGCCTGGCCCCCTTTTGATTTGGCTCCTTTCCAGGATTCTACTTCTGGTATGTGGTGCGGGATCCCTTTTGGTCGAATACTCCCACAGATCCTCCACACCAACCCTATGTCAGTCGCATCCATGGTCTCAGAGCCAGCAGGAAGGCAAGGGTTAGGTTCGTGCATTGGCCGAGACAAGCAGGTCGACTTGGAAGCTGCTCTTTTTTCGGCTGATTATCGCAATATATATATATATAAACACGGAATAAATTGTGATATATTCTTGCAAGGTAATGTAGCTGCCAGCTGTGTGATTGCAATCAGGTCGCCAGGTGGTACAAACTCATCAACTCAACGGCCCTATCACGCGACTCGCTCAGCCATGTAGGAGGCAAAAAAACGGCCCTATCACGGAGAGTTATGAACTATCTGAGCCACAATCTTCACTCAAAGCGTTTCTTTAGAAGTGCTGAAACCCAAATCCCTAAACCTTGTGCACTTGCTGGCGAGGGGCTAAGGCCCGAGCCATTCAACCCTAAGATCTTCCCCGAGGTATCCACGAGGGACTGATTGACGTCCACAACCTCAACCATCCGCAGCAGGCCGTCCGCCCCTTCGAAACCCGGACTACGCTTGTTCAGGGTTGCAGTGCTTAGGTTTGACTTGGGTCTACGAGGGTCTACGATGTCGGGTTGCTGGATCTTTTCGAGGATCCAGGAATTCCAATTCTTTCTAATGGAAAGTTGAGCAGACGGCAATGTGAACAACAGGGAACCGGAAATCACAAGGCACCACGCCTGCCGTGTCCGATGCAAACAGAAACCATTCTATTCTATACGTGTATAGATATAAACACATACATATACCTTTTTCGTCCTCATTGTTATTGCTATTATTAGTATAGCTAACTCCTAGTATTGCTTTTGCTGTTATTTGTAGTAGTATAGTTAACTCCTAGTATGAACTGTTACTGATTATTATTGTTTCGTTTGTGTATTTGCTGATAGGATCATCGTTGTTAATATCACGGCGCTTATGCTAATGAGTATGATTCTTGTTATGACTAATATGATTATTGTTGTTGTGTGTAACTCTTTTTCTTATTCTTAGTCTCTCCACTAGTACCATTTGTTGTGTTCATTGTTATTGTCATTTTTTAATGCTACCAGTTGGTATGGTATGGTTACTGTTTTTGATATTAGTAGTTCTTCAATTGCTGTTGTCTTTATTACTGTTATTATTAAGATGAAGATGATGATGATGATGATGATGACGGTCAAATTATTCCAGTTGCTTGCATACTTGTTGGCTCGCTTATGCATGCTGTGTAAGTACATGTATGTGCATACGTGTGTATGTGTACATATATATAAATATACTATTTACACATATGCATAGAGCTGCCGATGGCGCACCAAGTGAGTGACAAAAGATATATCTTGAGAGAGAGAGAGAGAGAGATTTCCTTATGTGCTTAGATATGTAAGTCTATGCCGACATAACCCCAACATGTAGCATAGCGCAGCTTAGGACTCCATTATTGGCCTCAATGGCACCTGCGGGCCGATTAGCCAGCTCCTGCGAGTGAAGATGTCCGCTCTTCCTGCGTCATGGATCGCAAGGGATCCGGGTTGAGAGATGAGGGGAAGTCTTCGGGTTTCAGTCGTAGGATGCAGTGAAACTCATCGTATCGCCCGGCCTATGTGCCGGCTGCTAGAACCCAGTGGTGCGAGTTCACCTCTCGGGATTGACTCTGCTCCTATGTTGTGTTTGCTCATGCTGCTGCTGCTGCTGCTGCTGCTGCTGCTGCTGCCCGTGGTCCTGTTGCTGCGACTGCTGCTCTACTACTTCGACGACGACTACTACTGCTACTGCTATCACTTCCTACCAGCACCACCAGCACTACTACAAAAACTGCTGCTGCTGCTGCTGCTACGACGAGGACGGCTGCCACCAGCACATTTTGGTACCGCTATAAAGCTGAGTCCAGCTCCTCGCGGGGATGCGGGCAGCAGCAACTCTGACTACTGCTATTCGTTGGTGGTAGCTGTATAGATTGCAATGGCATATCCCTCTTTCGGAATAGCAAAAGTACCACAACCATAGACATGAAGCTCATCGAGCAGAAGCCTATAAAGTACCACAACCATAGGCATGAAGCGAATCGAGCAGAAGCCTATAAAGTACCACAACCATAGACATGAAGCGAATCGAGCAGAAGCCTATAAAGTACCTAAACCCTAAACCCAAAACCCTAAACCCTAAATCGAGCAGANNTAAATCGAGCAGAAGCCTAGTTCCCAGCAAGGCAGAGCCAGTTGCAGCTGCTCCGCGGCTGATGCTGGGCATCCTCCGGCCTGACCGGCGGATTGTCCCTTGGTTCCCAGTGTACTTGGGTTTAGGGTTTAGGGT